CTAGTTTTTCAATATAAGTTGTATTGGACTGTTATCTATATAATAAATGCGAATGTCAGTGTGTCACTGTGTCATACCTTTTAAACTTTACTCCTAGAGAAGGGAGCCCAATATATCATAACATTTTGGAATCTGGCCGACTCCGTGAACAAATTAAAAACATTCCGAGCCGAATCTGGACCTGCAAATGTTCAAACTCAAGCGACACTTTATTCTTATATAACAAAAATATTACAAAGTGTCAGTACAGATATTTTTACACAGTCTTATTTATTTTAGTTTTTTACTAATCTTCACCTAATACAAAGTCCAAGAGCCACTCAAAGTAGAGGGTTTCTATGTGGTGTTGTGTAAGATTAGCATAAGAAATGACAAGCGTTAAGAGTACAGAGCTGAAGCAGACTTTAGAAAGAACCGGAAACCCAATCCTAAACAGGAAACAGGGGGTAAATCCAAAGACCGGGAAGGAGTGTGAACCGGGCGATATTTAATCCTGTAGTACTGTCCTCATCTGTATGGTTTTCAATTCAACATTTCGGCCGTTGTGCCTTCCGGCCTTCATCAGGTGTTTGTCGATTTGGATATCCTATAGGGAATTTCAAATTGAACCCTTTATTTAATATACGTGAGTATGCAGTTCTCCTTCCACTGACCATGCATGAGGGATTAGGACCGGAACGTTGGGATAACAGCAACAAAGATCAGGACAATAGCCCGCGTGTAAATAATAACTCCTCATCCATAAAATACAGACAGAAATGATTTTATTAATAACTTAATAAATCAAGATTAAAATTTAGATTAAAATTAAGATTTAAATTAAATTGCATTAAAGTAAATTAATTAAATCAAATTCGTAACTGCACCGAAAATTTCCTCAAAGTATTAACGGTGTTGTACTAATCAATTTTTACATTAAAATGCTTCTTTTTTTTAAAAAAAAAATATGACTGATTTTAAGACTGGGGCTCGGTGAAATTATGGACTGAGGAATTAGAGAGCCGAGTTCGAATTCCAGTCGAGTTCATTGCATCCACTTATGTACCCTGGGAAGAGGTATGAATCCATCTTTTCTTTCTCCAGCTATGGGTAAATAGTAGAACTGACTGGATCCTATAGCCTTGGGTGGCCACCGCTCTAGGAGAAGGAAAATCAAAAATTCAAAACCTGAAGAGGATCGTTTGATCCTTCCACACTCAGCAATAAATAAATAGCAGGACAGACTGGGTCCTATAGCCTTGATTGGCATCTAGTCTAGGAGAAAGAAAACTCTGAATTCAAACGGGCCTGGAGAGGGTTTAACTCCTTCAGGCTATATTGCTCAAGAAACAACGCTGCGATTGCAGTGCATGTATTGCCCCTAGGGCCCTAAGTGATTGTGATAAGATAGTTTTGAACTAATTGAAAATGAATCGAAATGTCAGTACACATAAAAGCATTATTACTAGACCATTAGTCACCGATTGCCCAGCTCTTGCTGTTTACAGAAATAAATTTTTACATCCCTCTGAATTTCCCTTTTTAATACTTATTGTACCAAAATTATCGCATAACTTGGCTGTGAAAATAGCCGATATACTCAAAGCAAAGGGGCAATTTAAAACTGTTACTTTCTTAAATAAGGTTCTCAGTGAAAAAAAAACAAAAAAAAATTTAACAAAAAGCCAAAAAACAACGACTATTTTCTTTTGAAAATTTTCGGACGATTTCGACGCAGTTAATCTCTTGTAAAAAAAAAAAAAAATTTTCTGTTCTGTTAGAGGGAAGAATCGAAAACTGGATAAATCTCGTCTGCTTTTTTATAAATCCGGGAAGGTGTCTAATTATTTCATTGAATCATCTGGTCTTTCAGCTATCTTTTTTACGGTCTAATACATACAAAAACTTTAAAATTTCTTCTTTTTTAGTGAACTTTTCGTATTCATCATTCAGAAAAAGGTTGGAGCCAACATCAAATAAAACAATTCTTATTCCCTTTTTGGGTGTACATTCGAAAAAGGAGGCGTTCTGTGTTTTCTTTTTTCTTTCTTTTTCCTTTTCTTTTTTTTCGTCTGTTTTTCTACTTGCTAATATTCATTCGAAGTCGTCTGCAGATTATTTTAGATGAATATTTTTTAAAGATAACAGTAACTTTATAGTTAAACATTTTGAAATAAATTTATTTATTAATTTAATAATTATAGGCAACATTTTTACATATTAACTCTATGAAAATTTATATAATAATAAAACCAATTTCTAATAACTTATTCAATCATTAAAATAAGAATTATGACTCATCTGAAAATTCAAATAGGAAAACCGCGAAATTTTCACGGGTTCAATTCATACAATAATCCTGAATGATTGTCTAACACACTTGGTGTGATAAAACCTAAGAGTAAATTATTTAAGAACTTGTGTGTTTATAATTATTTTTTAATGATAGCTTATTTATTATATTCATCCCATTTTAATATGAAATAACAAGAATTCTACTAAAAATCCAGCGACTGTCATTTTATAGAAACTTATCTCTCCAAAAAGAAATCATTTTTGAATAGTTTTGAATAGTGAGAATTTAAACCATTGTACCTGACAAACTATAAGTTAAGGGATCTATTAAATATACTTTTTATATTTTGACTAATATTTCTCACACTTTTCCTTGCATTTTTTTATAATATTATATCTCACTTAGGCTACTCGCGATGACGTCATTAGAAATTCTCCTCGACGAACTCCAACAGACTTCCCTGACTGACTCTGAGTTCTTTATTTAAGGCGTCTTACCGAGTTCATTTGCGTTACCGGCGGTGTCTTATCTATTCCACGACACTCGCTCGTGCATTTGTCATCTGCTTCAATAAAATTAAAATTTTGTAAATTTTGAATCTTTTCATTTGTACTCTTTCACGTGTTTAAATGCATCTATACTAACGATTATATTGCAAGGTTCAGTTAAAGTTGCTAAGCTCAAATATTTAACAATGCAGTAGGGCAATTTCCAGAGGTATTTTATAGTTTAATTGCAAAGAGCTTATTCAATCATTAAATTAAAAACCATAAGCAAATTCAAATAGGAAGACTGTTAAATTTTCAGGGTTATAAATCTTACAATTAGGTACGCATCGATTTAAATCCTGAATGATTGTCTAACACTTAGTGTGATAAAACCTAAGAGTAAAATATTTAAGAAATTGTGTGTTTATAATTATTTTTTAATGACAGCTTATTTATTTTATTTATGCCATTTTAATATAAAATCACAAGAATTCTACTAAAAATCCAGCGACTGTCATTTGGCAGAAAGTTATCACTCCAAAAAGAAATAACTTTTCAATTTTTTTTTTGCATGTTTCTGTCAAATATTAAAAAAAAAACTCCGAACTCTAAATATCTTTTTTTTTATATTTGCTAAATTTTAAGAGTTTGCTAAAGAGCTTAGTTAAGAGTTATGTAAATTAATTGTAAAATGATACGGCTACGCAAGCCAAAATATACGTGCATACCACGAGGTAAATCATATTCTTATTTGGGAATACCAAGTGCTGTAAGCTTGGATTTTGCGGGTGGGGTAATGAATAATGTTTGGGAACTGTTAATCGAAAGGCCGTTGGGTTCTTTATATTCACTTGCTCGTAAAATACGTTTGGGAAAGGTACGTATCCTCCTCTTCTACCCTCAGTTGTGGGTTACTAAGACTTGTATCGTTAAACAATAAATAGTTTTTTAAAAATATTACAATTTAAAAATCTTTTCTGGCTTTAAATAACATGCAAACGGTTGATAAGCTGTAGAAAATGAATGAATGAATGAATTAATTTATTTATTATTATTATTATTTCCTTTTATTTCTGTTGTATACACATTACGTGAAAGCGCTCAACCACAGACCTAAGGTCAGAAATGGCTTCATGCATGGCATTTTCCACTGATCACTTTTAAAAAAAAAATAAAAATAAAAAAGCCACCCACCAAAACCTAAGATCACACACATTTTACATAGATAAAGCACTTCATACGAGCTGTACTTTTTAGTACAATTTTTTGTATTTCTTTAAATCCCTTCAATGAGTCTATCGGAAACATATCCAATCAATCCGAGGGCTCCAACTACAACTGGAATTATTATTATGATTTAGATTTTTTGTGATGTCAACGAACACTCGTTGCCACTTTTGAAATGCTCGTTGTAATAGAGACTTTGTAATCGTAAATACAATTATAATAACGCCGTTGAACAATACTGGTGTCAGACGCCTTCGAATATCATTCGCACTAATAGAACTTGCTCGATAAAACTCGCTCATAAAGTAACCAGCGAATAGTAATTCGTACAGAGAAATGGTATAGTGAATAGAGTAGAGAATAGCGGCCCGTATAGTAATAGAAGATAAAATAGAAATGCGATCCGTATAGTATAGAGGATAGACTAGGTATAGCGATCAGTTAGACGCCAAACTACTTTCTACTTATGTGTTTCTTCTGTGGTCACGTGATCCACGTAATTCAATAATGGGATCGCCTGTGTTTGCTCGCTGGTGATCTATGTTCAAACTCAAGTGTCGGAAGTGACACTTCATTCCTATATAACAAGATTGAATTTACGTAACAAACTAACCCCCATCCCTGTTAAAACTTGGAAAATGTAAAGAAAATTATAAAAAGAAGTTATCTTCTATCGACATTTGATAAGGGAGGAGTAAAACCGGTTCACACCTAATACATTTTTTTTCCTTTATTAAATGTAATTTCCTACTTTTTCTGTTCCTACTTTTGTTTTAATTCCACAATTTGTGGACAGAACGGCTACTTTACAGAACCGCTACTTTGTGGAACCAACTCCAAAGAGGATGCTTTCTCAATCACTATAATCTTAACCTGTTCAATTCTAAGTTTAACAGTTATCTTCCCCATATATCCACATAATTTTTGCCTCTTACGTATTACTGTGTAACCCTCTACCTCGAGTGGCTATTGGGCCTTGTACAGAGTGAACAGACTTACAGTCGCATCACGTTAAAACACGGGTTCTTGTACGATCACCGAGATTAAGCAACGTCGAGCCTAGTCAGTATTTAAATGGGTAACCCCTTGGGAATACCAGATGCTGTAATCTTGGGTATGCAGGTGGTGTAATGGATAATGACTCAGAATTATTGATCAGAGAGCCGAGTTCCAATTCCCTTTTGAGTTCGTTGTATTCACTTACCTTTGGGAAAGATATGACCCCACCTCTTCTCCCCCAGCTATGGGTTAATTAGTAAGATTTGTATCACTAAATCCTTAATATACAAAAAAAAAATTTTTTAAATAAAAATTGTGTACGAAATATTTAGATTTCAGCATTGAATAACCCATAGAGGATGATATTCCGCTGAGCAAAACCAACCAAACAAGGTGGATATTATTGTTAAAAATAAACAGGAAATGTCCGTTTTCCATGCCATCAAAAAATTTTATTCGTGATTTGGAGAGCTTAATCGATAGCGATATAAAAAAAATTCTTAAAAATGGTTATTTCTTAGAGAGGTGCGTTTCTGTAGAAAGGCAGACAAATTTATATGCAACACATCCTTGCATAAAATTCGATTCAGCAACATATCAGAAATATCAAAATATATCAAAATATCTAACAAGTAACTTTCGATGGAGTTAACGAGAGTAAGGCTGACTTGTTGCTATCTCATTATCAAAGAATAAGAAAATAAACACGCGATTGAGGTGAATATCTTGTCATCATCAAAAGTAAGAAATGTGGACGGTGTGCTTGCACTGTGACTGCCAGAAATGTCAGAGGCGAGAGAAGCTCGTCAACACCTATGCAAACTACGTTTGATGCATGGTCAGCACTGGTTTGCAAACCAGTTGTCATATCTTTTACTGAAGCCCATTCCTAAGGGTCCTCCAAGAAATCATCCTCGGCCCATCTGGCTCAAACTCCACTACCCTTCATTTGACACGGCGGTGGACTAAATTCCGAAAACGTACTTACAAAAGAGAGATTTATTCATCGGTGGATGCCCTCGCCATGAGCATAATGCACCCCTGTCAAAATCATCAGCTGTGTTTGACGCTAGGGCGTTGAAAGGTGACCATAATGGATATTGGCAGTGGACACCAGCGCATAGCCAAGGGACTTGACAGCGCTAGAGAGGAGAGTAAGGAGAGGAGAGCTGAACAGTAGAGATGAAATCGGCAAAAGGAAAAAAAAATAAATAAAAAAGACCAAAGGGAAAGTTCATATGACCACTCAAACATTAACTGTATATTTGTTTGTTTTTTTTTTCTTTCTTTTTTTTTTTTGTACTTTTGTGTATGTATGTGTTTAGGTGTTCCTATGTGCGTATGCGTGTGCGTTGAGAAAGGTGGAAGGAAATGCAGACGGAATTTTTCCAGAGCCTGACAGAATTTCATGCCACCATGTCACTGTTTTGAATAAAATAAATAACAGAAATAAACAAGTCCTCAAAAGACACTCAAAGATAAGTTTTGCAATTCGGCAGTGTTGAATTTCTGAAGTTGTTTTTCTGTGTCCAGCCATGACGCTTTCATGATAATGGCGTCCCTAAACTGATTCACTATGTTTGCGAGTTTTCGTGGTCACCTCTTCGCTCGTCATGCACAACATCACGGAACTGTCCCTCGTCGTCTCACAACCGTTACTGTTTGAAGTTTACCGTCGTGATTTTATTATGGGTTCAACCCTAAAGACAAAGGTGAACGGATGAGCGAACGGGTCGCTAGGTGAGGGCATGGGATGACATTCTGATCGATCAATCGGTGTGAAAGCATGAAAAATTTTGCTATAAGATGATGGTTCCTTTTCAAAGGAAATCATTGTACCATTTGTATTCAAACATTAGCTGAAAGCAGTTTTGAATCATTTGATCTGTATTTTCATTAGTAAATATATGTTTGGGCTACGGTGTGCACATATGTGTCATCATACATATGTTTCTGTCTGCTTTATATATATATATATATATATATATATATATATATATATATATATATATATATAAAGACCAGGAAGTGTTAAAAAGTGCGTGGTCCGACTAAGAAACTTTTTTTCTTACCAAAATATATTTGGTTAGATGGTAAATGGGTCCGTCCGAGAAGTTTTCAGCATGCATTCTTGTATATATATATATATATATATATATATATATATATATATATATATATATATATGTGTGTGTGTGTGTGTGTGTGTGTAAATATAATAGTAATTCTACCTATTAATATACTTATAAATATATAATTAAAGGTATATCATGGTTAACGGATCATAGGTAATCATTCTTATCGAAAGTCCTGAAGAGTAATGAATGAAAACTTACAAAACTTGGAGTCAATATCGATATTGACCCTTATTATATCTAATTCAATCATATATATATATATATATATATATATATACCGGGTGTAACAGCAAAATTCTCCAAATCGTGTATCAACATAAATGTCCATCTCACAAAATGTTTAATATCTAAAAACACACTAAACTAATTGAGTTTTCTAGGTTTTCAGATAAGATATTTAGCCATCTTGACGCCATTTGTCGTAAGAATCATTGAAAAACCCTTTGAGTTATGCAGCTAGAAGTAGAACAGG